AAAATTGCTAAAAATGTAAGAGCTCAGAAAAATGAGACGACCTACTGTCTGACAGACTCCCTGAAAACTCATAGATGCAAGTGGTGACTTTACCTGAATATTTGAAACTGAATCAGAGGATACTGTTGTTCATGATATCAGAAGTTTGTACCTGCATACCTCATTTGTTTTGGATTTTGTACATACACTTCTAGAATTTATAACTGTAATGTGCCATGAGATAAGCTGTTTGTTTCAATTAGTGTATGTGCTACTATCGATAATTAGTCGGATAATCTTAGCAGAATTGATTAATTATCCCTATTCTATTTTGGTCAATATGGCAGGTTTCTGAAGCATCAGAAGTACGATGTTTGTTATGTGCGGAACTTCACCGATGTTGATGACAAGGTGAAAAACTGAATCTTTTCCAAGTGTACATAAATATTAGCTATTCATTTAACTTAAACACTGTTCCTATTTGACTGCTATATATTGGAACTACAAATTCTCACAAGATTTTTCTTTTTTTTTTTCTCCGAAGCTATCTGCTATTTTAAGATTCCTGTAGTGGCATCTGGATGTGTTTGACCTGATGTTGACTAACAGCTAATTCGTTTTTCTAATTGTAGTCCACAAAACAAAAACTAAATCTTTTCCATCTGTACATCAATTTTATCTATTCATTTAAGTTCTGTTCCTACTTGACCGCTAGATATTAGAAATATAAATTCTAACTAGATTTTTCCTTTTTTTTTCTGAAGCTATGTACTATTTTGAGATTCCTGTTGTGGCCTCATGATGTCTTTGACATGGTGTTGACTAGCAATGCTTTTTCTTTCTCTAATGGTAGTCCATAAAACAAATAGTGGTGCATCAGATATATGTAGATATGACTCACTTTTCAGACCATTGTTTGTGTTTCATGGGTCTAATCCCATTTGGAAACAAGTATGGTGACTAAGGTATCATGTTTTCCTTTGTCTTTGGCATTTGAAGTCTTCATACCCATCTTATTTTGATCCTATCTGAAAGAGCTTGTCTAGAAAGAATTTGAATCATACTATCAGATAAAAGAACAAGATGAAATGCAACCCATAGTTGAGGACAAACTTGAATGTTTATAGCGCAAACTTGAAATTTGTATGCACAATGTGTTCGTTAGTGAAGCAGCCCAAAGTCAAGGCTTGTTGAAGTAATTCTGCAACGCAAATATATGTAACACGGACAATGGGTATGAAGATTAAGTAGAGAGAATTGTTGTAACACAAATATATGTAACAAACAATCCTATAATAATTAAGGATTGTTGAGTAATTATGCAAGACAAATTTCACTGATCTTCTTTGTCTCTTCTCTCATCCCTGACATCCATTGTTGCCTTGTTCTCCTTTATCACAACAGCATCTAGACCTGGCAATGAAACTCCACACTACCTACTTTGCTGGTTCTCCAATAAAGCTGCACTCTTAACAAATACTAGGAATCAAAAAACAAGGAAAAGAATGCTTCTGATTTGGTGTCAATGTAAACATGCTGATATGCTAGAAAAGCTATAACATGTTTAGTGCACATTTCCATACATCTCTTGTAGTTTTGTCCTATGACAATCAAGTTGGATTTTTAATTTTTCTCCCTATATCATGATTTTAAATTTGATTCATGTTTCTTTTTGTGATACTCAATGATAATTTGGTTTTCATGGTTTTTGAAATACAGTTATATTTTATGACTGTATCTTCATCTGTCAGTCTGTAGACCAACTGCTTTCTTATATATGTATGACAGGAAACCTGATTTCTGGACTTGTGGAATTCTGTAGATTATTGCCAGGGCAAATGAACTGGGGGAAGACCCTTTAAGTTTGAGCAGTCGCTATTGTGATGAATTTCACAGTGATATGGCTTACCTTCAATGCTTGCCTCCATCTGTTGAACCACGTGTTTCTAATCATATGAATCAAATTATAGATATGATTAAGCAGGTATATTTTAAAGGTTGTTCTTTTATTTTGTAAATTTTAGTTATTTGTTATTGTACGAACTGTGTTATTTATTTGTGCCTCGTTTAAATTTCTCGTAAATTGTTCATGCACTATTCTTTGATTAAGCAGAGGTATATTTTACAAGTTGTTCTTATTTTGTTAAATTTCGTCAGTTTATTATTCTACAAACAATTATCCTCGTGTGTTTCCAGATTGACATTGTGTCTTAGATCAAGTTGTGGGGGTTTGATATTTACTGCTTTGATTCTTTTAAATGAATGATTATGCTTAGAATGATTACTGGTGAAGGAATAGTTGGTTGTGGTTTCAGGCATATGGTTGCCATCTTCATTATGCTGCTTTACGTTTCCAACTACTGCTTGGTCCTTTTCTTTTGTTGTTCCGCAGAAAATAGCTTGTAAATTATTTCTTTAATATTTGTTTACTTGTTTGGTAGTTCCATTCTTCAAGTGATTCTTCAAATATGCTTCGTAATTGATCTCTACTTACTTTTAGAGTGGTCCTGGATCAAGCATTTTTTATTGAAAACCTTCTTATGTTGTACATGGTGTTTGTTTCAGTGCGATTGGGGAATATCTATCAACCTTTGGTGGAACTTCCTGCATACAGAAAATTGCATGACTGTCAAAAAAAAGTGATATATATGAATTTAACACTCACATGTATTGGCTAAATGATTCTATTATGCTGTTTGGCACCATAATCCTAGGATGGAGTTAAAACTACTAGATTAGAAAATGTGGCTTTACTTATGCCAAGTGTATTATACCTTTTGTTTGTCTCCTTCATGGACTCGTTCTATCTTTTACAACAGATTCTTGATAATGATTGTGCCTACATAATTGATGGAGATGTCTACTTTTCGGTTGACAAATTCCCGGCTTATGGTCGACTATCTGGAAGGAAATTAGAAGATAATCGAGCAGGAGAAAGGGTTGCTGTGGATTCAAGGAAGCAAAATCCTGCTGATTTTGCTCTATGGAAAGTAAGATACTTTCTTTTTTGGTCATGTTTGAAGAGCTTATGGTACATGAACAAATCATATCTCGTTACTTGATTTTATGCTGCAGTCTGCCAAGGATGGAGAACCATACTGGGAGAGCCCTTGGGGACCAGGAAGGCCAGGATGGCATATAGAATGCAGTGCCATGAGTGCAGCATATCTAGGGCACTCATTTGACATACACGGTGGAGGGATGGACCTTGTGTTTCCTCACCATGAAAATGAAATTGCACAGAGCTGTGCTGCCTGCAGCAAGAGTAACATAGGTTACTGGATACACAATGGATTTGTCACTGTGAATGAAGAAAAAATGTCAAAATCACTCAAAAACTTTTTCACCATTAGAGAGGTGCAGATTTAATTACATTACTTAATTGTTTTACCTCGATTCTAATAGTTCAAGTATTTAAGTCTCCAGAATTTTCAGGTCATAGAGCTTTATCACCCACTAGCTTTGAGGTTCTTCTTAATCGGCACACATTACCGGTCTCCAATTAACTACTCGATGACACAGCTTGATATAGCTTCTGATCGATTGTATTATATATATCAGGTACCTTATTCCTATCCATTCCTTTTCTGATATGCATGTGTGGCTGATTAAAGTTTATGGATGATCACAGACAATTTGTGATTGTGAAGAGACTTTTCATCAGCATCATGGAAATGATCTTAAAGATTCTTTACCACAAGACACTCTTCAGTGCATCCAGAAACTTCATTTGGATTTTGAGAGTTCAATGTCAGATGATCTGCACACTCCTGTTGCGTTAGCTTCTATATCTGAACCTTTAAGAATCATCAATGATCTTCTGCACACACGGAAGGTAAGGATTTTATTCCTCTTGATCCAGAAATGGAAAAGACAAGCCCATTCCTCCAACCACTGGTCACATGAAAGTCAAAATAAACCTGTAAATTCCCTGATGTCTCATGTTTAAATTCTTTGGTGCTTGACATTTTGGGCAGGGGAGGAAGCAAGAGTTGAGAATAGAGTCCCTTTCAGCTATGGTAAAGGAAATCAAGAATCTTCTGGGTATTCTCGGATTGGCACCTTCAAATTACTCTGAGGTGAGTAGATATTGCGTCTTGGGAAAGTTGTCAAATAAGTTTGTCAGTTACCAAGACGATTATGTAAGCAGGTACTGCAGCAGTTGAGGGAGAGGGCTCTAAGAAGAGTTGGACTTACAGAAGATGAGCTCTTGCTAAAAATTGATGAAAGAACCACAGCCAGGAAAAATAAACAGTATGACAAGTCCGATGAAATCAGGAAAGGGTTGGCTGCCATTGGCATCACTCTCATGGACAGCCATACCGGAACAACTTGGAAGCCTACCATCCCGCACGATGTCCATGAACATGCGAGTGCAATGTGATCACCTTGTAATTTGACCTGATGGTGCAGGCTTGTATGCAGTAGTAATTTTGGTAGCAGAAGCTTTTTCAGCTATTCCACAGGTCTGAGCAATTTTCTACAGCCACAGCTGGTCAATTTCCAATCGTTGCATACAGAAGTCATTTGCTTCAAAGTATTAATCATATGTATCGTATAACTGGAAAAAGAAGTGCATAATCTTGGGTTGACAGGATCGTAAAGAGTGGTGAAGTTGACTTGGTCTGCCTAAATTCTTTTTTTTCTTTGTTTACTGTGTAACTCTTTTTGCTTTATAAATTATTTTTTATCAGCTCTTCAGGCAAAAGGATTGATATCTGAGCTGGTTTTCTCAAAGTGTGAATTCTACTGGAGTGATTCTTCTCCGAACTGCATTTAAGCATAATCCACTGTTGTTGCCTCAGTATGTCGTAAGTTCATATAACATGCATTATGTATGATTAGCTTCTTTGCACCTCTGTTCGTGACTGAGTACTCGTTCGAGAGTTTAACGTCATATATAATAAATAAATACACTGTTGAGAATTTAGAGTGTAGCATTCTACAACAATCCAATCTTCTTTGATCTTAAAGTGAACAATCCATATACGAGCTAATGCTTTAGCTTTCGAGAAGAAGAGGACGAAGAAGAATCAGCTGCCAATTCATTGGTGTTAGCAGTACATTTCGATCATTTATCACATTGTACATCCACATCTGTTTCACCTTCTTCTTCTTCTTCTTCTTCTTCTTCATGAAACACGTGTACAAGTCAACTGAAAACTCAGTGTGCTAATCCACGAGTGAATGAAGAAAGAAGGAGAAGACACCAAACATTCTATTTTATCATCACTATAACCTGTAGTGCGAGATCTATCAACACCACTGATACTGCAACTGCACATATCAGCATCCTCTCAAAAGCTGCTGCATCATCCAAACCAAAAGCTTGATGACCGAGGCAAAAACACCATTTGATTGCGCACCGTATTAAACAATGCTTCTGCTGATGTATCTTTCAGCAATGCCCCATCATCTAACATCGCTCTCACCTGCATTACTAGTTTTTAGATTTTAGATAGATTGTATTTGCAGGGGAAAAGAACATGGTTTCACTGTTAAGTAGTACACATCGCAAACCTTTTACGCTTGCTTTTCAGGGAACTCGATGATGATGATGATGGATTACTGTGCCAATTCCTTTTCCTTTGGTTGATGAACCAGTTATTGATCTGCTTCAACTGTAGACCAGTTTCCTCCACCAATCTTGCTTTGTCATCCTCCTGCATCAACCCACGAAACAAGGTTACGGATTGCAGATTAAGCCTGTCTCGTTTATGATGATGGCCTTAAACTAAGCCACACAGCACAGAGGTCTGCAAGACATATCGCTACAATTGCGTGGTGAAGGAGGAGGAGGCTATCCTCACATGATGCAGGAGAATGAATGGATCAGTTATAAGTACCGTTGGATATGGCCACTTGGAGTGGGACTGCCACCAAGCTTTTAACGTACAAGTGCTATTCCCAGGAAGTTTCCCTGCTCTTCGCTTGCGAAGAATCTCTTCTCTGATATCGACAATCTTGTTTTTGTACCCCTACAAGTAGTATAATTTGGTTAACATCCTCCTATACATAAGCCTGCAAAGAATCTCTTCTCTTTGAACCTTCACAAGTAATATGATTTGGTTAACATCCTATACGTAAGCTTTACGATGAATCTCTTCTGTGATATCGACAATCTTCTCTTTGTACCCCTACAAGTAAAACTACTTATTTAACATCCTCCTATACATAAGCCTGCAAAGAATCTCTTCTCTTTGAACCTTCACAAGTAGTATGATTTGGTTAACATCCTATACGTAAGCTTTACGATGAATCTCTTCTGTGATATCTACAATCTTGGGTACTTGTACCCCTACAAGTAAAGTGACTTAGTTAACATCCTACAAATAACCTCACAAAGAATATCCACAGTCTTCTCTTTGTACCGACCGCTACAAGTGAAACGATTTGGTTAACATCATATCCATAAGCTCAGAAATTCTATGATATCTACAATCTTTCTCGTTGTATCTCTACGAGTAAAATGATTTGGTTAACATCTTATGCGCAGGCTTATAAAGAATCTCTTCTGTGATGTGATGTCTAGCAAGCCTACAAGTTGAAGATTTAACAGCAATATGCATAAACTGTCTACCTGTTTTAGCTCATGCTTCAGCTCCTGTCTGACGCGCTCCATCAAGGATCGCTCGGTCTCAGTTGGAATGAGAGGGCCAAACCCCATGCTGTCTGGTCCATCAAACAAATTTGTTTCACTGTCTACCTGATCGTCATCATCATCGCCGTCATCATCATCATCATCAGACATGGTTGCACCAGTGCCTTCACCGGGAGAGACACCTATTTCATTTGCCATAATCGAACCATCATCATCTTTCAGCAGTCTTCTTCCACCAAGAGCATTTAGGCAGGTTCAAATGCATACGATTAAACACTCGTAGCAGGAAAAAAAAAATGCATGCATATATGATGATATCGACTTGTAAAACAGAAATAGTAGCATGCTCTGCTCATGAGGCACAAGTTAGCCTTATCAAAATGCAAGGTAATTTTGGCAGGTAATGTGGTGCAGACTGCAGGACGTTCATTGCCAATCGTAGCAGCTGCAGCATGATGTGTTACCAAGTTTAATTTGTCTGAAAAAGAACAATTTCCCGAAAGGTATATATATCAAATTGTTACTATAAACTATATGTTACATACATGTATATTGCAGAACAAAGAATCCGAAATTAACCTGTTAGGCTTTGCAGTGATTGTTCCAGCTCCCAGCAAGCCATCACTGCCTCCATTGCATGTACACGTACGTGTTGCTGCAGTTGTTCTTTAAAGGAACAAAGTAGCAAGACATAATGTGTCTGGCCAACGAATGAGATTTTTTAGGTATTAGGAATTTTAAAATGAAACGAAAAATAACAGCTAATCTAGCATATGAAGGATCAGAGAAAGAGTTCATAGTTCATCAAGTTTGAGGATGCATGGGATAAATCCAAGTGTTGACCATATGATGAAATATCTGGAGATATATAGAAAGCTCAATTTAAATTTATGGATTATGCTCGCGCTCTGAAAGTTTTCGAGCTGCATTTAGGTCATCCAGGTAGAAGAATACAGTTTCTACTGTACAAGGTAAATTTATGATACATGAAAAGTACATACATTAAACAAAAACTTCAAAGTGCAAGTCGATCAACATATAGGTTGAAGTTGCTCTTGCAAGTTAACAAGCAAATCATTGCGGGGATGATGACTTGATAGCCACCTACCTAAGAAGGAAGCATGAAACAGTATGTAAAATGAAGTCTCCTTCAGTTCCCCAGAACTGTGAAAGAATAAGATTATTAATGATTTTTGTACAATTAGAGTACTACTGGAGAACCCATATGGCAGTAGCAAGACGAGGTTTCTGATGAACTAGAAAAAAGCAACGACAATTTCCTGGTAATTTGGGATTAATATTAGAAGGTTTTTTGAGGTGATCGCCATTGTTGAGAATATGTATGCAAGTTCTGAAGCATGCAAAAAAAAAAAGAATTTGTCAATTATCAATAAGTGTCGGAAATACATAATCAGAAGCGCAATCGAGATCCACTGAAAAGGGGAGATCACAAATCGAAAAGATTAACTAACTAAAGCAATATTGATCAATCACACAAGATGATTTTATCTCATTGTTTAATTTGGTCTTGATCAACTGGGCGTACTGTATATGATGTAAGTACTGTTTAATCTCTCGCTGGAATATTCTGTAAAGTACATATGGATTTTGCATTTTGCAGACGGTCTTACCTAAGTATGCATATTTAATGACCTTCATGTCGAATATATCAAGGAAGATTTACCATTCCTACAATAAAAGGATACTACTTTAGTTGATCATCTAATCGCTTTGTGATGGATGTGTTAAAGAGAAGGCCTACCGAGAAAGATATCAGCCACTGCTCTCGCCGGAAGATCAAATCAAGGTCATACACATAAAAGGCGTCTGTAGAAAGCAAGGATATCTATCATACATGAGCTGGAGTCAAACATGGTGGAAGTGTTCCAGAAGTTGTCAAAAGATACTTAGATCCTCAAGTCAACGCTTTGGATGTTTCACGTGAAACATGATCCAAAAGATGCTTCGATTCTGAAATGATCGCTTTGGATGTTTCACTCGAAGCACGAGTTGGGTTGATGTTTTCTTACTTACCAGGGAATTTAGCATCCGACTACTAAGCAAGAGTTCCAGTACTACAGTAACCAAAACATCAAACTCAAATCTACAATTAGATTGTGGTTCTTCAAGCCTTCAGCTATCTGTCTTCCGATCTCTACCACTACTATCGAACCCGAGAGGGAAACAAATGAATCATGCGCATATCTAAGGAACAGAAGCCAGAAATCGAGTGAACGCATCGAAAAGAGGGCATAATTAGAAAGCAAAGACGCATTGGAGCGACGAAAATAAGGAGCTTTGCTATACCATGAACTGATCGAGCTCCTTGTCATCGCCGGGCATCTGTCCGTTGTTGCCGAGCACCGAGTACTTGGACACGATTTGCTGCGACTGACCGAGCTGTGCGTCGATCCTCGGCAGCTGGTCCACCGGCGTCGCGATCCTCAGGCACGCCACATGCGCCGCCAGCAGCTGCTCGCACAAGGGGTGTGCCAATATCTCCGCCTTGTACCTCGCGTTCATCCACGTGACCTCCCCGGCGGCGGTCTCGCCGCCGCTCCCTTGCGCCACTGCCTCCGACTCCCCGAGCTCCCCGCCCGCGTGACCCCGCCGTCCGCCGTGCTCCCCCGATGTCGCACCGGCCATGATGGGGTCGTTCGACACCGGAACCTCGTCCTCCCTCCCGCTGCGCTGCAAGATCGACGGTCGGGGAAACCAGTTACCCGCCCCCGCGCCTCCTCCTCCCCCTCCGGCAGCGACCGGCGAGGCGGAGGAACCGGACGTGGTTTGAAGATGGAGGAAGCTTCTGTCGGCGTAGTGGTGACCCTGCTGCCGGAGAATTGCGCTGTTAAGCCACGTAGGCCCGCCCCCGCCTGCCATCGTCGGCTTCACAGCCGGGGCCGCGTCGGCCACGAGGCGGCGGAGGTCCTTCCCGTCCTTCACCCTGCCAGCATCGGTAGAGGCACCGGAGGGCGGAGGTACGGCGAGCTGATCCATGGTGGTCCTTAGCAAGGCCGGGTTGTCGCCCCTCAACTGCTGCTGCTGCTGCTGCTGCTCCGCGTACCGCAGCGGCGTCAGCTCGCGTGACAGGTGGTTGTGGAACGCCATACCCCCCCCCTCTTCCACCCCACCGCCAATTCGCCCAAACCCAATGCAAAGCAAAGCGGATGGGCGGAGAAGAGAAGCGAAGTGAAAGCGAGAGCGAGTCGTCGAAACTATAAGCCACTCGTCCAATTAGCTGAGATGGGAATCCAACGGCTAAGAATCCATCGCAGTTCCATCCGGGAGCGGGTTGGCATTTATTACGGCGGGAAGTGGACCCCAAAAGTCGTGGGGACGGGCGACCAATGGTTGTGAAGCACGTCAAGAGAGGGAGGTGGGGCCTGCGGGAATTTGACCTCGGGAGGTGTCGTGTCGGCTTTTGGTGTCCTCTTCTTTTGTTCTTCTATTTATTTCGTTTGGGTTAGTTGGTCCCCCTTTAACTCCACTCTGCTGACGCTTCGCCTCATACCGTTAACGACTGTTGATGGTGAAAATTTCTATCTAAATCTTTATAAAATAATACAAATATGTCAGAGAAAGAATTTTATTATTACATGTAAATAAATATATATTATGAAATAAAAGGGGGTGAGTTTTGGAAGAGTCTTAGGTGACGGCGTGGCGTTAGTGGGGACCACGGTCGAGGAGAGGCTCCTCCAACTCCGTCTCCGTGACGGCGGGGGCGGTCCCCGCTGCCGCCACTACCGGTCGGAAGGCGTCGGTCCCAACGTGGTCCCCCGCACAGGACGTGGTGCAGATGACGCCACGTGGCCGAAGTTAAGTGGTAGAGCGGTCCCCCTGCAAGCATTTACTACTTCCCGATGGGCTGCTCTGCTCTGCTCTGTTCCAAGTGGTGCAGGAAGCGAGAAGAGAGAGAGAGAGAGAGAGAGAGAGGGCACCCCCATCATCATCATCATCGTCATCGTCGTGGGAATTTTAATGGCGATTGAATTACACGTTGAGGGGATGGCGTGTGGCATCCCGTGACCCTCCGCCCGGTCCCGTGCACTCATCATGATTGCGTCTTCCCTCGACGCAGGTGTCTCCTCTGATGCAGTGTCCCAAAATACGTTGCATTAAAAGCCAATGCCATATCTTAATTTTAATGAAATTAAAATATTATGAAGATAAATTCTATAATTTTGTTGTACATAGAAATTTACCGGTCGGATTTGTGAAAACATTTACAGGAAAACAAAAGAAACTCTTGGTATATAAATGTTTATTTATTATTTTGTTTTTGAGTTTTCTGCCAACTCAAGCCTTAGTTGGATTGAGGGAGATTGAGATTTCTAGTTGTCCCTCGTAGAACAAATCTAAATTCAACATTGAAGTTTGTCAAAAGATCCAAGGGTTTAGTAGAGGATCCTATAATTTTATATTAAGATATATTTGTAAAGATGTTAGTAAAATTAAAATATTTGAAAACCAAAAATACACTACTAACTTAAATTACTCGTGAGAGATAGATATAAGGAGAGAGAGCATATATATATATATATATATATATATTATAGTGAACTCAGATAATCATTTGAATTAAATTGAGAGCTAATCAGTAGAATAATTCACAAAATCATCGAGCATAATTCAGTAATCGATCAATTCTCCAATTTTCAAATGTATGCATTTAAGCATCTGGTTTGGGATAGATTGTTCATTCCGTTGCCTAATTGTGTCATTTTCTTGACTAAGCTACGTTGTTCATTCACTGCATAACTTTAGACCCATAACCACATAAATGTCCACACGTTGACACAATCACAGTAGGTTATACAGACTTGTATGTTGAATTGATATGGAAATGGGACGTAATTTTATCCTATGGGAGACCAGAAGTGATGCTGAATCAACCTAACATGTCTTGTTGCATCTGCTTCCAAGGACTTGTCCTTTTCCCTTCACCTCTCTCTCTCTCCTTGTATCATCATATATGACAAGTCGAAGGGAATTGGATCAACACTCTATCATTCGTCTCATTTCTTTTATCTTCTTTTCCAGTGAGTGGGCTCCTACACCTGATAATAACCAGTGTCAAACTATTCAAGTACAGAGAGAAAGGGGGGAGGAGGGACTCCTATTCCTCGACACAGTTCAAAAGGCTGTGTACTCTTCACAGGCCCCATGGAAGGGAAGGGAAGGGAAGGGAAGGGAAGAAATTTAAAGGAGAAAAGGAGACAACGTGTGTTGGTTGGTGTGTGTATTACTACTACTACGGTCCTGTCTTCTTATCATTTAGAACAGCGGAGAAGGAACCGTAAAGCTCCAACCCAGAGGCTCTGCCTCTCTGCGTCCTGCCATGCCATGCCATGCAATAATAAAAGCAGGTTCCATGGCCAAAGCCTCTTCTTCCATTCTTAAGGCATCAGCAGCTATGAGGAAGGCAGGCTAAAAACCTTCATGAGTGTGGGGATGAGAAGAATCTGACCTTCTCAGCAAATTCCATAAATTGTCTCTAGTGGACGAGGCTCTGCAGGGCATGTTGTCTGTGAAGAACTCCGGGAGAACCTTCTGCTACTGCTGCTGCATTTCATGAGTGTCTGAATTCATGAAATCATCTTTTCTATAATGGTCAGCGGCGAGAACGAGATTCGATTAGGGAATTATGTTATCAATAATTATTCTTATCAGGTAAGGCATCCTCTCAACCCAAGTCTTATATTTATTGAAAAAAATATTAATTTTTTTTTATTATATGAGAGTAATATAAATATAAGATAAAAAACATATTTTCTTGAGTTCAATCTGAACCCAAATCCGATATCCTTGTATTTTTCTTCAAATAAATCTAAAAAAAATGTAATTTTTTTAAATTTCTCTTAGATTTACTAAAGAAAGTTAGGATTCAGAAAGTTAAAACGCTTATATACTCACTCTCTTAGATAAATATTATACGAAAAAAAAAATATTTATAAATGTACTTGAGACCCTTCCTTATATAAAACACCCGAGAGTAGAGTGAGATAAGATTTTATTTTATAAGAATATTTTATTTATCAAGTAAAATTCTTTTTCGACTTTTCATTCTAGTAATTTATCCTCCCAATAATCTATTTTTAATTAAAAATTTATGATCAAATATGTTCTTGAATTAATGATCTGCTGAATGAATGATCTGCTAACCATGGGCAAGAAGACGGAGGAGGATCAGTTGCTGCAGCTTTGGAGCTCGAGTCATGCAATCAGATACACAGTGGGAAGAAGCCTAATGGTGACATCAACAATTCGTGTTGTCCTTTTCATCCCCTTTTTAAGCACCAAAGCTCATGCCTACTTCTACCAACAGGTTGTGTGTGCCACCACCATTCACTAACTATTATCCTCAGAGCTGCTCAACCGTGAGGGAGCTTTTCATTCAATTATTACAACAGTCCACAAGAGTACGTATGACGTTGCCATTTCTATAAAGAAACACCATTCCACTACATGAAATCCGCAAAGATGATCGCTTGGTCTCTTCTACTTATGCAATCAATCAAGCTTATGCTGAAGCCTGCAGAACTTAAGATGTGATGTCTCAATTGACTTAATGCAGTCTCAATCTTCATCTATTTATCTGTTACCTGTGTATTGACTTGTGATCATCCTTGTTGGTCAAGTTTGGTCACCAACCATGACTTTCAATGATAAGAACCTTCCTTCCTCTTATCATTGGTTCAGTCTGAATGCTTTCTTTGACATGTGAAAACAAAGCAAAGGAAAGCAAAGGGTGTGGCTGGAGAGAATTGTTTCCATAGTTGGGATAATAGCTACAGTACTACAGTGGCATCTCAGTCCAACTCTCCGTATCTTCCAACCCAACTAACCTTTCCTCCTCCCCCACCATACATACATACATACCTAAACAGAGTCGAAGCTTCCAACCAGTTGAGCCAATATGATGACCTGTGGTTTGCCAAAGTTTCCTTCATTCACAAAATTGCTACTTTGTGAGTCACGACAGTGATACTGATAGAAATTAAGCGAAGAAGATAGAAAGATAGAAATTGTAGAAGAAACTATGAAATGTATAAGATATAATTACCTAATACACTTTGATAGTGAGTTCTTGACAGCCATTTATACACACTCAGTAGGGAGGTTATACACATTCAGCATGGAGGATTTTTCTCAACTGCTGAGAGATTTCCTCAACTACCTTGAGGAAATCTTATCTGCTTCTCAACTGCTGAGAGATTTCCTCAACTGCCTTGAGGAAATCTTATCTGCTTATCATGCCCCCGCAAGATTGAGCTTCCATCAAGGATGTCGATCTTGGACCGATGAGATGAAAATAGTTTACGGGCGAGAGGCTTTGTGAGTGAGTCGGCTAGTTGATCTGCTGTATGTACATGAGAAACTCGGAGTTGATGTCTGGCAACTTGATCTCGCACAAAATGGAAGTCGATGACTATGTGTTTCATGCGGGAATGGAACACTGGATTGGCACATAAATAAGTAGCTCCAATATTATCACAATATATTGTAGGAATAACCGTGGAGTTGACGTTGAGTTCCTTGAGCAAATTTGTGACCCAATTGAATTCAGCAGCGGCGGTGGCGACGGCACGGTATTCAGCTTCAGTTGTAGATCGTGCAACCGTCTTTTGTTTTTTAGAACTCCAACTGATTGGAGTAGCTCCAAAGAAGACAATGTATCCGGACATAGATGTTCTATCATCAAAGTTCCCTGCCCAATCAGCATCAGCAAAGGCATGGAGATGGAGTGAAGTATTTTTGCGAAGAAAAATGCCATGATTAAGAGTCCCTTTAAGATACCGCAAAATTCGTTTGACCGCAGACCAATGCGTAGTAGATGGTCGATGCATGAATTGTGATAACTTATTGACGGCAAATGAAATATCTGGACGGGTGAGAGCCAAGTACTGTAAGGAGCCAAGGACTTGTCGATACTGAGTCGAATCTGTAGCAGGACTTCCATCACATAATTTAAGTGATTCACTAGTAGAGAGAGGAGTTGTAACCTCTTTCGCATCTTGCAT